TCTCAGGAGCAAAGGTGAAAGGAAGGCAAAAGGCGTCGCACCAGGCCCTACGCGCCGGGACCAGCGAGCTCTATGCACCGCTCGGGCACTAAGGCACCCGGGCGTAGCTCTCGGAGCACGTCTCCCCTTAGGTTGCTCTCTGGGCCGGGCAGTCTGCAGCTGGCAGAGCGGCTTGGGCGCTCCAGGGGCAGGACCCTGCCGGGAAACCAGCAGAGGAGAAAAGCGAAGTGTTATCACCACGGAGAGACCGGAGAGGGACGGTGCAGCGAAGGGAGACCTAGGCACCTGCAAACCAAGAGGAGCTAAACTGAACCGAGAAAGGGGCAGCTGGTGAACGTTAATTAGTGAAACGATACAGCTACAATGCCACAGAACTAACGAGGAGCCCTGAAGCCGGGTGGCTGGGGCACTGAGCTGGCAGCCACGCAATCTGGGCTCTACTTCCTGCTCTGCCGCTGGCCTGCTGTGTGATGTTGGAGAAGTCACTTTGCTGCTGCGTGCCTCAGTTTCCCTCTGGATACAAGACGGAGAATGACCCTCCCTTGCTCTGCCCAGTGCTCCGAGAGCCGCGGCGAGGAACCCGCGTGCCGGATCCTGCCCTTGAAGCAGCTTTATGCTTGTACAGCTCCTGCTTAGCAACAGGCCCTGTTACAGGAAGCGACAAAAGCTCTCTGTTTCCTCTGTTTCCTCGCAGCACCAGCCCCTCCCTGCCTGGGAGCTGCGAGGTGCTGGGAGAGGGCCCTGCCCTGGCGCATGGCAGCGAAGAGCCTCCATCGCTGAGCCCTGGAACCGCCTCTCGACGCGGGAGCAGGAAGCCACGCCCACGTGGCGACCAGAAAAGGCGATTTTGGCCAGGCTGCCTCGGCCGGTCCACTCGCTTCTTACGCTGGAGCCAGTCGCCCAGCAGTGCTCGGCGGGAGAGCTCCCGATCCGCCCCGAGTCGCCCGTGCACTGGGCTCTGGGTTGGCACCAAGTCAGTACCATGGCCGGACGGGAGAGAGGGGCTTTTGCATTGGCCCGAGCACGGAGGCTCTGCACGGCCCAGCGTCTCCTGCCCGGCACTAGCTGGCCCAATAATCCAGGATTATTACTACTCGCCTCCCTGACATCCCTTCGTGCCCCCAGCTGGGCACAGTCTGGCTGCAGGGCTCCCCCCCAGGAGTAGGTGCCGAAGCAGCATGCGAAGTGGTTCTGTGAGGGAGGAGTTATACGGAATTCAGGGGGAAAGCGACAAGGTCGGTATGAAGCGTTTTCCTCAGTCTTCCCTAGAAGCTGATCTCTGCGCAGGAGAGAGCCCAGGGCCGCACAGCAGATTAGCAGAACGCCCACAGCTAGGTTGTGTGTGTCTCCGGGTGGTGCACATCCGCACTTCCCTTGGTGCACATCAAATGTAGTCCACACCCAGATGGAAAATGTTAGCGAGCACAGTGGCCATGTGTGGCCTGATTTCTGAAGGCAAGGGATGGAGAGGTGCCGGGGACAAGCCAGGAGCTGGAACTGCCATGGGGGTCGTGCTGACCAGACAGCGAGGCTCTGCCTGCTCGGGGAAGCCGCGAGCTCTCCATCACCCGTCAATGGCCACGACCAACGCCGGCAGCAGAGCCTTGTCACGGGGCTGCATCTCGCTGAGAAAGCCACAGTGAGATGCAGCTCCTGGCGCCACCTCCCCCCGTTGGTGCCGGCTGCTGTGTTGCCGTCAAGGCGAGCGGGATCGATGAGCCGCTTCCTTCCAGCACCACGCTCCGGTGCATCTTGCCCGCCGCCGGCATCCCCGTTCGCGCCGTCTGCGCTGCAAGACCTAGCAATGTCCCCTCCCCCTGGCAGCTCAGCGGGGCTGTGCAGAGATTGCTCTGCCCCCCAGCGCCGTGGGAATCAATCAGCTAGGGATGTTAAATATCGGTTACTTGAATAGTCCAGTAACCTCGTGAAATCCGATCAGTTCCTTGACTATTCGATAGTCCCCGGGGGTGGGGCTGGCAGCCAGTGCCCTCCGACCCCACTCCCAGGGAGCCCGGTCACGCCAGCTCCCCTTGTGGACCTGTCACCCTGTGCTGCCGTCTCTTATACAGAGGCAGCAGCGAGGGACGGCAGCAGCCCCTGTGCAGGAGAGAGTCTGAGTTCCGAGACCCAGCACCTAGGACCCAGGGCCAGAGCTGCAGCTCCCCAAGGTGAGCTCTGCTCAGCAGTCCAAGTGGGGCTTCAGAGAAACAGCTGGGCAGAGCCAGGAGATGGCTGAATGTGCCAGAGCGCCTGCAGATGCGCAGCGACGAGCGCGGCTGGCAGGCCCAGAGCTCATCTGCATTGTGCAGGTGCAGCGGGTGCCAGCATGTAACTGTCTCTCGGGACCCGAGCAGCCCAGCCACACCGCACACCGGGAGGCCGCTGGGGCTGAGCCCCTGCACAAGGGATGGCACCAGGCACAGGGAGAAGGAAACACTTTTCCCGACTGTGCCGAGACCCCGATGGAAAACGACCATTTCCTCCTGTAAACAGCAGGCAGCTCCCACTGCAGTCCAATCTCTCGAGAGTTCATGGCTGGAGGCCTGATCTCACTGCTGCCGTCTGCCCATCACCGTCCGTACGGCACCACCAAGCCCTTTGGGGCCGGGCTGTGGCACGGCTGCCATGCACAACTACCCCGCGGTGCGAGTATCGCAGACTAACTCCCCACCTGCCCCGTCAGCGCTGCCTCTCACTCGGGGTGGGGGAGACGCAACGTGCGCTGTGGGGCAGAGCCAGCTGAGAGGCAGGTTCAGAGACGACCCAGCAGAGCAGAGAGCTGGGCAGCGCTCCCACCCCCCTTATCCCAAAGGGGCACGGCTGCCATGCACAACTACCCCGCGGTGCGAGTATCGCAGACTAACTCCCCACCTGCCCCGTCAGCGCTGCCTCTCACTCGGGGTGGGGGAGACGCAACGTGCGCTGTGGGGCAGAGCCAGCTGAGAGGCAGGTTCAGAGACGACCCAGCAGAGCAGAGAGCTGGGCAGCGCTCCCACCCCCCTTATCCC